TCTATACTTCATTGTAAACAAAATGGTGATTAAGTGTTTGCTGTTCATGTTGAAATCATGCCATAGAAACATAATAGACTATGTCTAAAACACAGAAATGTAAGAAAAGAAACAAAAATGCCCCTTCCTGAGCAGTTAATTTCAGCATTTTTGGTAAATCTTGGCTTGATTACAAAGAATTGTTTCCTTTGGAAGAAGTGAGAGGAACACATTGTTTATCTGACAGGTCACTGTCTTGCAGGAAACAGAGCTACTGTAAGGCGGTGTTTCCTAATGAATTTAAAATATGATGCCATGACATTTTGTAAGATGAGAGCTAATTAGTTCAGGGTTCTGAAAAGAATAAACTAATCAGGAGCAAGTCCTCACTTGCTTTCCAACTGAGTGGCATTCACGTTACATTCTTCAAACAGCAGAGCCCCCCAAAGAACCTTGAGAACGAAGAAGTTACAATCAGATTCCAGGCTCCAGGGATGCATGAAACAAACCAAGTATCTCCACAACAATTCTCAGTCCTGTACACAGATGAAATGTTAAAAGACTCTTCACTTTTCTGGGAACTTAAACCTAAGGAAAAGGCAAAGACTGGTAAAACCACACACCACTCAATGATTTCAGCTTTAACACACTTTTCTACCCTCTCATGGCCTAATTCTGACTGGGGCAGAGAGAAAATGGTCTGGTAGGGCAGTGCTTCTCAACTTTGAGTGTGCACACCCATTGCCTGGGGGTCTTGTCTCCTAGGGGATGCTGCCATTGCTGGTTTTAGGACTGATTAGCAAGTTTCAGGAGTACCATAGGGCACCACGTTGTGTATTGAATCTGTAGCAGGAATGTCCAATCTTTTGACTTCCCTGGGCTACACTGGAAGAAGAAGAATTGTCTCGGGCCACACTTAAAATACACTAACACTAATAATAACTGTTGACCTAAAAATAAAATCACACAAAAAAAATCTCATAATATTTTAAGAAAGCTTATCAGTTTGTGTTGGGACACATTAAAAGCCATCCCGGTCTCCCTGCGATCCACAGGCCACAGGTTAGACAAGCTTGCATAGGGCTTCAAAGTAATGGGAAATCCTTGTGCTTCTTCAAAGTCAACTTTTTAAATCAATGGAGGATGAACAGGGTGTGAGCAGCCCTTGAGGTAGAGGGAAGTGAAAGGAGGTTTCAGGCCCACGTTAGGGCTCCATCCTGTTTTTGGGTACCTGGCACATGCTTAGGCCACATTTGATACAAGCCATGCTCAAAAAGAGGGCAGCTCTATCCCTTCTGTGGCTGGAGGCCAAGGGTTCTCAGAGATGCAGCTCAGATGGTGGAGCTTGGATTCACACCTTCCTGGCACAGCATCATGACCTATAAAGACTGTGTTCTTGCTTCAGGGAGAGCAAGGGGGAGAACAGGAGGGAGTGTTAACACCTTGCTTTTGTGGTTTCCTAGCATCTAACTCTCTAGAAGACATATGTTCCTTCTATTCCCACCTTCATGTGGAAAGACATATCAGACCCCCAACCATTGCCTCAGCTCATCATTGCATCATCTGGATGGCTTCCCTAAGCTCCCACCTGGGCCCAGAAAGGAAATGGCTTACGACCCACAGTCTTTGACTATCCCCATCCCCATTCTATTTATGGCCCTGCTGCACCTCTGTGCAAATTGGGAGAAGGTGACCCTTTTATGGGGATGAAGGAGAAGGACAAACCAGGCTGTGATCTGGCCAGTAAAGTGGGACTGGACTGGCTCCTGGTGGGCTTTGGCAAGGTGTAACCTACACCTTGGTCGTTACTGCCCAAAATGAGAGCCAGCAGCTTGCTGAGAATCACTGGGCCTGGAACTCCACTCTTGGGTGAAGATGCTTTTTCAGATCCCTTCCTACCCACCTGCAAGGCTTGCAGGAAGCCTTGAGAAGAACCAAGAAGGAGGCTGATGCTCCTAGTTGTTCATGAGCAGCCAATGTGGTAGACTGATGCCTAATAGTTTCTACCTTCTTCTGCATTCCTGACTGAGAATCTACCCATGAGCCCCACAGAGCAAGAGCTGCCTGATTAATGCTCCTGCCTATGACACGGAAATTGTCAAAAATAAACCTGAATCCTTGCCAGGCCTCCCCATGATTTCTGTGTAGTGTGACCTTAAATATACTAGATAAGTCAGAAGCCTAAAATAGCTCAGCTCTTAGAATAATAGAATTTGGTCCCCTCCTGCTTCTGTAAGTTGAATTCTTAATTGCTAAATTTCAGGCTTTTTTTGGTGTTTATGTAAGAATTTCAAGGCCATAACTCCATATTTGAAGTAAAGTGCTCATAAAATTAATTGCAAGGTAATTTGCCATTAATAGTTATCTGATTTCTACTTTGATCTAGTGGTTGTTAAGAAGAGTGGTTTTGGTTTTTTTATTCATGATTTTGTTGTTGATTCCTACTTTTATATGCTGTACCGGAGAAAATGATTTCTGTGGGCCTCTGAGGTACAGCACATGATTCTCAAGTGTATATGGTCTGATAATATGAGAAAATAACATATTCTCTGTTAGTGGAATACTAATACTTAAAAATATACGTGTTTAAATATTTGAAAAGGGGTCTGCTGATTCCATTACTAATGCATTGCATCCTCACTTGGTTACATTACTTTTGTTTCCAGAGGATTTTTTATATATGTATATTTGATGCATGTTCCTGGTGAGTTATCAACTCCTTGAACTACAGCTTTTATCATGCATATTTTATAAATTTGTATTCATTTTATATATATTGATATTGTCAGTCCTCCTTACTTTTTAAAATTTGGATTTGACTTTATGATTCTGCACATTCTTTACTTTTCAACATTTGCCTTCATTTTTCAAGTGTGTTTCTTATAGACAGCACATGCCTGTATTTTTTAAAAATCTAATTTGATATTCCTTGTTTCATAACAGGAAAATTTGGTCATTTGAATTCAGTGTGAAGATTAATATTTTGGTGTTTTTCTCATTTTATTTGCTATTTACTATTTATTCCTTTTTTGATTTTTACCTCTCTTTATATTCTTGCTAATAATATTAAGCTTTTTGCTAGTCCTGTTATTTCTCTTTTATCCCCTCATCCTGGTTTTTGAATTAATGTTATTTTATGATTCCCTATAGCCCTAACTATAAACTTATTCTAACAATATAAACTATTCTAAGAATCATACATAATTTATGTGTCTTTATTAACACATAAAAATTAATAAGTAAGTCTAACCACTCAAGTATTTTATTTGCCATTCCTCCCACCCCTTTAAGAAGGAGACATTTCCACTGGCCCCTGGTCCTCCATCCTGAGCAAACTCTCCATCTCCACAGTACCCAACACTTGGGTTTACAGCAATGGTTTGAGATTTTCAGTGTTTCATATCCTGGCTAACATTTTTGAGATAATGATTTCTTCTGTTTAGCAATAAGTTCTTAAAATTTAAATCTATTCCAGTCATATCATTTTAGTAATTCATATTTTTCTCTATATCTTAAAATCTGTGGCATCTCGTGGTTCAACATTAGGAAATCCATCACTATGATTCAGTAAGTAAACAAATTCAAGGTGGCACATCATATTGGCTTTTTACGCTTTTGATTTTAGTAATATCCTTTCACATTCACAATCCAGATAGAGAGATAAGCAAGATTGTATCCACCAAGTCTCCCCTTTACTGATCTTCCAAACTGAAAAACATAGCTGCCATTTTAGTCAGCAGTTAAACTTTATTATAGAATAGTTTTATAACTGTCCTGCTAAAGTTCCCTGCAACTCACATGATGATGCTCAAACCCCATTTGGTGTTGCAGGAAGTCAGGGACCCCGAATGGAGGGACCAGCTAAAGCTGTGGCAGAAGAACATAAATTGTGAAGATTTCATGGACATTTATTAGTTCCCCAAATTAATACTTTTATAATTTCTTACGCCTGTCTTTACTGCAATATCTGAACATAAATTGTGAAGATTTCATGGACACTCATCACTTCCCCAATCAATACCCTTGTGATTTCCTATGCCTGTCTTTACTTTAATCTCTTAGTCCTGTCATCTTTGTAAGCTGAGGAGGATGTATGTTGCCTCAGGACCTTGTGATGATTGCATTAACTGCTCAAATTGTTTGTAGAGCATATGTGCTTGAACAATATGAAATCTGGGCACCTTGAAAAAGGAACAGGATAACAGCAATGTTCCGGGAACAAGGGAGATGGCCTTGGACTTTGACTGCCGGTGAGCCGGATAGAACAGAGCCATATTTCTCTTCTTTCAAAAGCAAATAGGAGAACTATCACTGAATTCTTTTTCTCAGCAAGGAACATCCCTGAGAAAGAGAATGTGCCCCTGAGGGTAGGCCTATGAACAGTCCCCTTGGAGGCGGCTGTCTTTTATGGTCGAAGCCAAAGGGATGAAATAAGTCCCAGTCCCCTGTAGTGCTCCCAGGCTTATTGGGACAAGGAAATTCCCGCCTCATAAATTTTACTCAGACAGGTTGTCTGCTCTCAAACCCTTTCTCCTGATAAGATGTTATCAATGACAATGCATGCCCGAAACTTCATTGGCAATTTTAATTTCGCCCCAGCCTGTGGTCCTGTGATCTCGCCCTGCCTTCATTTGCTTTGTGATACTTTATTACCTTGTGAAGTATGTGATCTCTGTGACCCACACCCTATTCGTGCACTCCCTCCCCTTTTGAAAATCACTAATAAAAACTTGCTGGTTTTATGGCTCGGGGAGCATCACGGAACCTGCCGAGATGCAATGTCTCCCCTGGACACCCAGCTTTAAAATTTCTCTCTCTTGTACTCTTTCCCTTTATTTCTCAGACCAGCCGAGACACTTAGGGAAATAGAAAAGAACCCATGTTGAATATCGGGTGTGGGGTCCCCCGATAATTTGGGAATTTGGTGAACTTGCAGAATGAAATTCTAAGAGACTTGGGCTTGTTGATGTGTCAACGTTTTTCATGGGAACTGACATTAAATATTTCACAAATACCATAACTTCCAGGAATTCACATTTTCTTTATTCAATGTAGAATTGTGAAATATTTAAGAAATAACTGAATCATTATTTCTTGACTGTTTCCTGCCTGTGAAAGCAGAACTATGAAATAGCTCAAAGGAATCAGTGAGAGATTTGTATCCATTATATTCAATAGCCTGCATGTGTCCAAATCACAGATGAAAGAATGTGGGCAAATATAAATTAAAATTGAATGTTGCAGAAATGGTTGAGGAACTTCACCAGGATATATTAATGTACAAACTGAAAACTGATGAAAGGCAAGAGTTTGGTCCTATGTAGTCTGAAGGACAGGAGCAGTTTTGTAGACATTTCTTCATTCTTCTCTTTCTGCTTTTCCAGACTTCTAGGGAGAAATTTGCTAGGAGAAATAAAAAGATGTATAAATTTCAGTGATGCCGAAAGTATGTGCAAACAAAGTCTCCTCATTAATAGTAAAGGTAGAAATTGGTGTGGATTTTCTGGAAGACAATTTAAAGGTACACACTTGGTTTCTAAAAAGTACAAACACTTTTTAAAATCTATCTATCTTTTTAATCCCAATTTATTTACAATTTATTGTAAGAAAGTATTTAGGTAATTATTGCAAATTAGGTAAAGTAAGTTCACTAATTATTCTCAATACAAAAAAAGGATGAAATTCCATAAACATCTATTAAGAAAGATCTGGTTAAATAATTTATTGTACCTCCATATGTTTAGTCATTAAAAATAGTCACCTAAATCTCTAGGGTATTGACATCAAATAATGTCAACAATAAATTCAAAAAGCCTAAACATATAGAAAAATATCCCTATGTCTATATAAAGAATGTCTACATACCCACTTATGAATACATGGAAACATATCTGCAAGGATATGTAGTCTAAAACCTCATCAGTGGTGTTTCTTCTCAGTAGTGTGAAAGTCACACATTAGAGACATTTAACTCCTTCCAGTAATGGGAAGGAGAGGAAGAGCTCACAGAAACAGAAAGCAAATATTTTTGACATTTTGATATTTTGAATGTAATCTCTTTTCTTCATTTTTCTGGCTACATATATTGATTCAACACATTAATAAGCAGGATGTAATATTCAATAAAAACTTCTGTAATAGTCTACATTAGTTCCAATTTATTCATATAGAAACTATTTATTTTACATCTCTTTCTATTAAACTAATATTTAGCATGTAAGGCACAGTTTTATTTTTGAAATTATTAATACATTAAAATATTAGTGACAAACATAAACTCTTGAGCTTTACCCTAGGTTAATGATAAAGAAGACAGACAATATTAGATGGAGAAATGCTTCATAAAACCCACAGGTTAGAGGAAAATTGTTAGGAGTTTAATAAATGAGAGATCCTTAATATTTTGCTGCACAAAAACCAAAAATGAAACTTCTTTTAAATGCATATTCTCAGCATGCATTTCAAATCCCATTTTTGAAGCTTATAAATTTATGATTACATAGGGGAAGAAAAAATTCTGTGTTTCTCCACCCATCTTAGATCTATTGGCTGGAGCTCTGCAATTTAGTCTGATAAAAGATGGATTAAACAAGAGAAAAACAAACAGAAGTGTATTAACATAGGCATAATACATAAGAATGGGAACTGTTACTAATGTATAACTCAAATGAGTGGTTAGACCTTAGGGTTATATAACAATCTGAACAAGGAATAATAAATACGTTGAGAAATGTCAGGACAAAGGAAAGGAACTTTGGGCTTCTAGGGGCAGCAAATTGTGGGAGGGTAAGTTTTTGGGAAAAGTATAATGGAAGATGCTGAGCGCGGTGTCTCATGCCTGTAATCCCAGCACTTCGAGAGGCCGAGGCGGATGGATCACCTGAGGTCAGCAGTTTAAGACCACTTCAGCCAACATGGTAAAACTGTATCTCTACTAAAAGCACAAAATATTAGCTGGGCATGGTGGGGTATGCCTGTATACCAGCTACTCTGGAGGATGAGGTGGGAGAATTGCTTGAGTCTGGAAGGCAGAGGTTGCAGTGAGCCAAGATCATGCCACCGTACCCCAGTCTGGGTAACAAAGTGAGACTCTGTTGAAAGAAAGAAAGAAAAAGAAAGAAAGAGAAAGAGAAAAAGAAAGAAGAAAAATGGAAGATGAAGTCTAGTTAGTAGGTTTGTTATATATGTTATATAGATTCCTCTGGTGCCTTTCTTGGGCTGGTAGACTTTATAGCTGTTTCTAGTGACATAGAATCATCCTGCTCTTCCTGATAGAGGGGGCGGGATACAGAGAGTTTTTCTCGTGTCTTCTTGTTTTGTTTTGTTTAATTGCCTTTGACTCAAATAATCCTTAGGCCGGAGTGGCATATTTTTGGGTGACATCCTCTGAACCTTTTCAAATATAAGGTCTGCCTCCTTCTTTCTACTTCATAACATGAAGTCTTCTTTCTCTTCCATGAATATTACAATTCCTGCCTGAGTCCTACAGTGCCCTCTTCTTCCCTGTGGGTCAGGACACAATTGGTCCTTTGAATTGAGGTGTGGTAGTAGCCAAGCTTTGAGGAGTGAGGTTTCCACCTTTCATTTTGTTTCCAAAAGTAAATATTTAGTAAACGATAAAGCTGTGTTTTTAGTTGTAAGTCTATGGTGATTGTATAGAACAGAATGATTCTAATGTATTATTTTAGCAATGAAGACAAGTAGATTTGATGCAGAAATCCTTGTCATAAGGAGCCAAAATATTTATGTTGCCTTTAGGGGATAGATATTGAATATATCTACCCATATTAAACTTTTTTTTTAAGAGATGGAGTTTTGCTGTGTTGCCCAGGCTGTGCTTGAACTCCTGGGTTCCTCAAGCAATCCTCCTGCGTCGGCCTCCAGAGTGGTTGGGATTACAGGTACATGTCACTATGCCCAGCTTACCCAAATTAAGCTTTAACAAATCTCAATAATGTTTTCCTAAATTATTCTTGAATACAGTCATGTAGAACATATAACACTCAATTATGAAGTTTTAAAAATTTATAGTTTAGGAAATTTTGAATTAATAAAAACAAAGAACACCTTTTTTTTTATTTTTGAGACAGAGTCTCATTCTGTCACCCAGGCTGGAGTGCAGTGGCATGATCTCCGGTTCAAGGGATTCTCCTGCCTCAGCCTCCGACGTAACTGGGATTACAGGTGCTTGCCAGGAAATAAAGGCAATAAAAAGTCATTGCTAATTACCTACTCTAGGTTTAAAAAGCTCATCTAAACTTTTCAAGTATCTTTTTTCCCTGAAGCCTACATTTTGTTATTACTTTAGTTGGAAAACGACTCTCGTCAATGACTCCTCAAGTTCCCTCACCATTCTGGCATTCATTCCAGCATCCCTTTGCCATTATTTCAGCAAAGATAGATATAATATACTATGGAAGAAAAAAAGAGTAGCAACCTTAAGAGTTGAGTTCCTATTATAAAATGAAGACATTACTGAGACTGGGTTCCAAACAAATATATTTTTAAGCTCCACTCCTGTGGTTTTGTTTTGTTTTGTTTTTGTCTTGGTCTCTTTGTTGATCCTGTCAGCCAATGGTTTCTCACTTGCCTGTCAGAGCTGAAGAGTCCATTCCTTGTCAGTTCAGATGCAGAGTATAATACATCATCAGTTTTGAAGTGGAGCAAACATCCTTTAGTAACAAAACCAATCCAAAATGAAAAAAGGATCTGCTACTGCTCTCTGCGGTCATTGTCAATAAAGATGTTTTCATAGCAACAAAACACACACAAAAAAATTCAAAACACAATGAACATCTGTAATAGTCTTTTACCCAAATGACAAATACCTTTCCTACTAAATCATGTATTTACAAAATTAGAGGGCTCTATTTTAAACCTTGAATTACTTGACATCGAAGGTAATGCTAATTACAATAAAAATCTCTCACTTACATAATTATTAATTCAAATTTGCAGCTTTTTTCCTGAATTTTACCTGCTTAGAAATCCTTATGTTGCTAATGAGGAACATAATGATTAAGAATTTTGTTGCTGAAATCTCTCTATGTCTCAGTTTAATCATGTTTAAAATTGATAATACTTAATTTATAGAAATTGTGATAATAAAATAATACCACAAATGTGATTACAACAGAACATGGCAAAATAAATGCTAGCAAAATTTTTAAATCATAGTTTAAAGATACGATTTGTGTTTCTTTAATTAAACAATTGATAAATAGTTTTCTATTTATTGACATTAACCTTGGGTACTCATATTTCTGCAAGTAGGAGAGGAAGGATATGATGCCTTTCCCCACTCATCATAAGGGTCATGGCCAACACTCCTATAACAAAGGATAGGCTAACAAGAAAAAAGCATGACGAATGTATTTAATCATACTTTTATGTGACAGAGAAGCCTTCCGAAGGAAGGCTCAAAGAAGCAGGGAAAACTACCCATCTTTATGCTTAGATTCAATGGTGTGGACAGTTGTGTAGAAATGTGATTGGACAAAGGAGGAATTATCTAATAGAAATGGACTGCATGTGGAAACCCACTAAGAACTGTCTGTTCTAATTCCTCTTGGCCTCTTTGTGTGGCATTTCTTCCTCCTGGGTATGGGGCAAGACTCCTTCTAGAATTAGGGTTTGATGACCTACTGTCAAATAAGGGGAGGTCAGAGAATTTCTTTATGGCTAGCTCCTAGATAGAAAGGCAGGACACGGTTATAGGAATAATTCCAGCTTTTATTTTTGGCTTTGAGGAAAAGCAGATATGGTTTGTATGACCCACCTTAGAGAAGAGGAATTCTAGTTTCTATGGTTGCCTGGAGGGAGAATGAGGGCAAGAGACATCTGAATCCTTCACTTCGGGGTATCATTTTCTGAGGCTCAATATAGACAAGTATTTATAACTAGATGCTTAATACGGCCTTTTGAGATATGCAGTTCCTATGCTGCAATCTCACAGGCAATGAATGGTCTTTATAAAAGTGTGTTAAAGTTGAAAAAAAAACAAAACAAAACAAACAAAAACCTGAAGAAATATTCCTCATTGAAGGTCCAGCTTACATTAAAAAGAAAACTATAATAATTTATTCTCTTGAGAAGGGTCATATAGCAAAGGAAAATTCTTGAATGTCCCCTCTGCTTGCTCCATGCATCAATTCTATTGATATTAAAATAAGCCTAGCAAATGTACTTCCATTTTCACTGACTCAGTCTTTATAATTCACCACCAATTCTGAAAAAAAATTAGAAATTATTTCAGTAAACAGCTCTTATAAGTGCTACATGCATAACAATATTTCAATATCAGAGACTTCTATCCCATGAGAAGATATTTTCAACCTAAAATTTATTATAAATGACCTAATAAAGAACTATTTTTTCAGTAATTGGCTATTATGGTCCAATCTGTTATACCCACTTTACACTAGAAACTATCCTGTATTTTCTTGTTGCCTACATGAAAGTGGGCATGAAAAGGTTAAACAGTAAACTTCTTGACTCCTGCCAGCCAAGGGAAGACTACTGGTGTTACCTATGAAGTGTCATGGCATTCCCTTCTGTTTAATGAGGGAAATCTGCTTTCAATACAAACTCCCATAAGAAAGCCACTCTTCCACACAAATTAAGCTAAATAATCCATCATGGCAGCCGAGAAGGCAATGTGTAAAATCTCTGTGGAGACCAGTGAAAGAAAGGCAGAGATGGACTGTAAGAGCTGCAGCATGATGCAAATACTGAGAAAAGACATACTCTGTTAATACAGCTCTTAATTCTAGGCATTTTTACAGAACGTATTGGGAGTGAAGCAAAGCTTCCTTAGCAGTACTCTGATGCCATCTCAGCAGGATAATGTAGGGCAATTCACAGTGAAGGCAAGGGGTTAGGAAAGTCACAGCCCTAAAAATCAATGGGATGCTCACGGGGAAGAAGGTGCAACAGATCTTGGAGAGCACAGAAAAGAAGAGATGAGCAGCCTGTATTGAACAGAAACCAATATATTAATTAGATATATCTAGCAGGGTCGTTCCACAAGTTCATTAGTGAGTAGGCACCAAAAGCCAACTGTAAATCCTATATACTTGTATATATGCATGCTTACATTACTTATATTTTAAGCAGTCATATTCTCAAGCTACATTATGAGTTCAGTTATTCTAAAAAGATGCTTCCATTGTCTTCTTGGCACTTACTCAGAATCTTCAGTTACCTTATTTATACTGTGTGCTTACTGGTTGTCTTACAGATGAAGACAGGGACCCTGTCTTATTCACCTCCATATCCCCAGGATATAGAATAGTGCTTGGCACACAGCAGGAACCCAATAAATACTCATACTATTTTGAGTCCCTTAATCCTCATATCAACTACAGGATCTAAGCTCTATTGTTATCTCCATTTTACAGATGAGGAAAGTGAGGAACAGAGAAATTAAGTAATTTGCCCAAGCTATGCACGAATAAGTGGCAGTCAGGATTTGAAGCCAGGCAGTCAATCCCTAGCATTCACATTCCAACAACTACTGCCTCTAGTGGTTATGTATGTATGTATACACGTATATATTTGCAGAAATAATTGAAACTTATTTCTGCCTAGGTGCATGATATATTAAAGCATCACTAAATCCTTCTGAACATAATTCAAACTTCTTCCTGCCACAGACAAAGTAATGGCCTATAATGGACATAATGATTATCCCATCATACACCTTGTACTGTATTAGTTTTCTTTGCAATCTCAATTACACTTGCTTTTTTATTATCATGGTTTTATAAAACTTTATGACTGGAAAGTACCATATTCATAAAGAGTTGTGCCTCATATATGCTGGACATTTATGCATTTTTATTAGTAATTATAAGTTTTTATGCAGCCACATAGCCCCAGGTTTATGATTCTACATCTTTTGTGTTATATCATCGTTTGTAGCTAGTTGATATTGTAATGTTTGCTGACTTCAGTCAGTTATTAATTTCTATAAACTAGAATTTAGGGGACATTTCAATGGACTAAGGAGAGAAAATAACTGAAAATTGGAAATTGAGATCATCTGAGAAAATCCAAGTTGTTTGTATATCCTGGACATAAATCTCTGGAAGACTAACATATTTTCCTTCCTTGTCAAGTCATACAACCAAAGCTATCACTAAAACTGGTCTAACATTTAAACATTCAATCAGCTTAGTCAATGTTTCCTTAAGTTTACTGAACTACCAGTTTCTTACCAACTAGTTACAGAACAATCACAGTTGAAAATAATCTATACATTGTATTATAAATGGGATTAATTATGCTGCCAGACAATCCCAGGTGTGCCAAATAACCCAACCCCCTTCCTCCAAGACAGTCATTGAGAAACTAGACAGCGTCTGAGTATTGTAGGAACAAACACTAAAGTAAATGGATTCTAAATCCCTTAGAGTTCTAAAATGCTATAGAGATCTGAGAAGCCCACAAACTTAAAACAGCAGGCAACATAGATAATGCTTAAAAAGCAACATACTTTCAATTGATGATAAACCCCTTTTGTTGTTCATTTAATGCAAATAGGTTTTAGAGCTCAATTCACACTTTGGTGAATAAACTTTGGCACATATTGAAAATATTTGATTCAATGGTTATATTTCTGTCTGACACGAGGAAATTATAGAATCTATTAACCTTAACAATTTAATTAGCATGTCCGAGACGTAATCACTCACTAGATGGGTAGAATTGGCCCAATTAGTTAACCACTCTAAACCACAGTTTCCTCATCTGTAAAATGGGATGGAAAATAATAACAACTCATAGGGTTGTTAAGAGGAGTAAATAAATTATGCATGTGCCCTATCTGGCACACAATAAGTGCTTATTAAATGAACAAGTAGTAGAACTGTATTGAGAACCAGTAGTGGTAGCTTCCATATTTAGAGAGCCATCAGTTCTGTTTTCCAATAACTCCTTTAGCGAGAATTGTGCTGTGTGTTCCCCCCAACTCGCCCCCGCCAATTGCATTGCTATATACAAGGATGTAACTTCTGTCTCTAAAACGTTTCAAATAGTGAGCTGGAGGAAAACAAACTTAAGTCAAAAGAGTTTGACTAAACTGGCTGAGAACATTTAAGGTGGATAAAAATAGATGCATTTTGTTTGTATAAATAGATTTTGGTCATGAGAAAGAAATAAAGAGGTTCCTCTCAAAAGAAAGCCTGGTTTAGCAGTCAGTAAACATTGGGAAGAGTCAGCAATTAGCTTCCCCATTGTGTGGAAGAAACTGCCAGAAGCCCATCCAGAATTAGGTGTGTGGGAGGGAAGAACAGAGGAGAGGCAAACAAGAAGCTGTCACTCTTTACCACTTCCACCCTGAATAACCTTTAATTGAAAAATAAAGTTGCCAAAACAAGGAGAAAAAGAAAAACTACTATTTTATTCCCTCCTTGAGATTGAATTAGAGGGAAACATAGACTACAGTAATCCCAAGGTTGGACTCACATGATGGCAAATGTCACGTAGTTCTAAAGCTCTAATTAGAAATAGGGCTGAAGTTTTAGCCAGCTCTTGCTACTAGAAAGAAAACATGAGGCAACAACAGCCCAAGCTCTGGACACTCCCCGACAGTGAACTCTAAGGTGCTTTCTGAGTGGGTTCAGTATAAAGCTGACAGAGCCTAGAG